AACCAGGTACAGCAAAGAACTCAGCCGACACAAGTGGAGGTCTCACTGCGAGTCCTTTAATGCAAGAACCGGACTCGGCAAGGCCTGGCGCACGTACCGCGGCATGGAAGCGAAGAAAAGACGCACAAGAAACGCAGCGCAGAATCTTGGACTTCGGTTAGACATAACGGAAGACGAGCTTGCCACCCAAGCCGCTCAGCTATTCTTCCCTCAGGCAAACCTGCATGACAGAACGATGAGGCACAACCGGAGAGGTTGGAGGGTCCGCCCACCGAAAGAACCAGGCATGGATGAAGCGATCAACATGGGTGAGCTCCTAGAGGCAGTGCACACGACCAAACCGAACAGTGCACCTGGGCCAGACGGTGTCACTTATACGGCTCTCAAGAACCTCCCGGCTGCAGCTAAAGAGAGCTTACTTGAAGAGTACAACCGAATATGGGATACAGGGGCGGTGCCCAGCCACTGGAAGCTGTCTTGGGTCACACCTATACCCAAGCCAGGAAAACCGCAAGATAACATTGAAAACTTCAGGCAGGTCTCACTGACATCTAACGTATGCAAAACGATGGAGAAAATAGTACTGCGTAGAATTCAGTGGTACCTGGAGACTTGAGACAGACTTGATGCCAGGCAGACTGGTTTCAGGGAGGCAATGGGCACCCAGGACAGTCTAAAACTTCTTTACGCGAGGAAGTGATGGCCGACAAAGATGCGATAGACCCAAGGCTTATTGTAGCGCTGGATATCAAAAAGGCATTTGATGAGGTTCCTCACTGGGCAGTCATTCAAGGTGCCAAAGGCTGTGGTGTGAGGGGTAAAACGCTTCGGTTGATACGTAGCCTCCTCACAGACAGGAAGTTTCAAGTGAAAATCGGAGAAACAAGGGGACCAGAGATGTCCAACAGCAAGGGGGTCCCGCAAGGGGCTGTTATATCACCAACCCTCTTTAACATGGTGAGGGCTGGTCTTCCAGCCAGTCTCAGACGCGTTACGGGCCTTGGATTTACTATATATGCCGACGACATCACATTATGGACAAAGGGAGGAGCAATGGCTAACCAGGAACAAGCCATGCAGCAAGGGATAAATGAAGTCCTCGAGTATCTCTAGAATGTCGGCATGCAAGCGTCGCCTGAAAAGACTCAATTCATGGTCGTGGCCAGGCCGAGAGATCATCGAAAAGGCGTCGCGGACCAAGTAGACTTATTCATCCAAGGACAGAAAATAAAGGGAGAAAAGCAAATAAAGATATTCGGCGTGACGTTCGAAGAAACCGCCCGCAGTACGAAATGGTTACCAGCTCTAGAAAAATCATGGAGGCAGACTCTAAAGCTCGTGCGAAAGACGACATCCAAGTCCTGGGGAGCCGATGAAAACACAATCAGGATTTTGAAAAACGCTCTACTAACGGCCAAGGTGCTATGTAGTTGTAATTGGCTCAACCTAACCAAAACGCAATGGAAGCGATTAGAACGACTAATTCACCGCACCATGAGACTTGTCACAGTACTTCCCAATTATACAGCCCTGGAAGAGCTAAAGAAAAATGCAGGAATGAACCAGATTCAAGGCCGGGCGGAGGTGCAGAGCATAGCGCACTTTTAAAGGTTTGAGAGAACGAACCACGGCAGAAAGCTACGTGAAATCATGGGCTAAGAGGCAGAGGGGAGAGTTCCATTGGAAGACCTAGCACCACCTTGGCAAGAGACAAACACCGTTGATTATCGACCCCTGCCCAGGGCGCATAGCCAAGGACGCAGAGCACGAGAGGCAACACAACACGCTAAATGGTGCGACGAACACGCGCACGAAGAGTAAATCAGATGCACGGACGCATCTAAGACTGACATAACCACGGTCACGGCTTGGATCGACCCCAAGACAGGAAGAGAAAGCACCACGAGACTACCTGAGAACTCCTCCGTGCGCGAAGCAGAACTCAGGGCAATCCTTGAAGGGACCATCGATATACTGAAAAATACGGAAGGACAAAGGAGAGCGAGTAGTTTTACTGATTCACAAGAAGCACTCCGGGCGTGTCGAGAAAGCAAACCTAAAAGCGAAGGGCATCGTGCTGACATTAGAGTGGATTCCGGGCCATGCGCAGATTCCCAGGAACGAGTGGGCTGACCGAGTGGCAGCGGAGGCAGCCAGCAGCAACAGCTCCGGGACAGGCTCAACCACTCGGGAGGACAACGAGGAAACGGAAGACCCTGTGGAGAAGGCCGAACTAGCAAGACAAGCTAGGAAAGCCTACCTCAGGGGACTCGTACCGACAGAAGAAGACCAAATGGTTACCGAAGATGGGAAGCGACCAGACTTCGCAGAATCAGAATCGGCACTGCACTAACGCCCGCCAAACTGGCAGCCTTTGGGCTACTGGAGGAAGAAGACCTTTCTGCAAGGGCCTGCAGAGAAAATAAGGTGGCAGGGATCAAGCACTTACTGTGGGTGTGCAAAGAACGGAAGACCACAGAAAAACGGCGTGGGAAAAATTACCCGCTCAGGACCAACCAAGGAGGCCAGCAGCAGCACCGAAAGGCGATCCTAGACTCCCTGGTTGAATTCATCAGGGAATCTGGGGCTCATCAATGCATTTAATAGCACCATAGTCATCCACATCCCCTCCTTATAACCCTGCACCCCCACACCCTCGTCTCAGGGCACACCACTCATAGACGGGAATCCTATCATATATAATAAACATGTTCTCTCTCTCTCCGTTTCTGACTCCCCACTACGCTTGGAATACCTGTGTTCTCTAGAGGCTTCCTGACGTTTTTGTATCGCTTGCTTCACTTCTTTACCCCACCAGCTTTTCGGTCTAGGTCAGGGGTGGCCAAGCTGCGGCTCGCGAGCCGCAAGCGGCTCTTTGCGTGTCAAAGTGCGGCTCGCGCCTCCCTAGCCTATCCCCCCCCCCCCCCCCCCCCCCCCCCCCCTCCTCTTCCCCGCCTCCCTCCCGGCCACTTGAGCACTTCCGCAAAAGGGAAATGGAATGCGTTTTAAATCGAAAGAAAGGTTGCGGTTTGGTAGTCTTGCTGCTACTACTTCCTTATGTACAGTTGAACTGCTTTTGACTCAGACGGATTGAAAGTAGTCTGTTTTTATTGCTCTGGACAAAAGTTTCCTTCCCTCTTCCCCCCTTCCCGTGGCTCTTGGAAGTTTCGTTATTTTGTTTGCGGCTCTTAGGCCGGGTCAGCCTGGCCACCCCTGGTCTAGGTCCTTGCTTCCCCTTTCGTTTACTCTGAACTTTGTCTAGTTCCAGAGCAAAAAGCCTAGTTAGGCTCCCATAGCTCCAATCTGTATACCGTTGCCCTGAAACTGCTTCCTCTATTCTTTCAGCAACTATTTCCAACTCTTTGTCGCTGCAGAAAGTTTGCTTTGAATTATGTTGTCTAGTTTCAGCATTTACTTCCCTGGCAAAATTCAGCTTATTACGCTTGTGATCACTACCAAGACTTTTGGAACCTTCTTCATCTATTTTCATTACTTGTAACTTGCCATATATTTTGTGTGACATGAATACGTAATCTATAGTTGAATATAGATGGCCAGTTTCCCACGTTATGTGCCCGTCCCACTTCTGACTGGTATTACATAAAACCAAGTCATGCTTTTCCACCAGTTCTAGCAATATGCTTCCAGTTGAGTCTGTGTACCCATCCAGACCCTCGATATAAGCATTCATGTCCCCCATAATAATTATTTCAGAGCCTTCCCCTAGCTCACCAATGTCCCTTGATATGCAATAAATCATTTTTTTGTTTTTCTATTTAGCACCTGTCCCTGTCCATAAGTTTTTCGCTTTCACAGGTGCAGCGCCGCCCAGTAGCAACTGCATCAACCATCCGCCAATCTTTGGGCACGCGTGCGTCTGCGTTCGGCGAGGAGTTGGATCCACCCAAACACGCTTCGAGCCTCACCCCCCCCCCCCCCCCCCCCCCCCTTAAAAAAAATGGCGACCGCCAGTGTTGTTTGACGGAGCGAATTGAGAACCTGTTTTTTAAACCTGTCTGCAGATAGTTTTTTTTCTTTTTGTATGCCTGATAGTTTCCGTTATACAAGGAAAAAAACGGGCCTCAGACTTGGGCTGTTTTCGTAGACCGCGTTTCCCCCTCCGCTCAGCCCTCCGCAACGACGAAGCCGCTACTGCGCCTGCGCGCCCATGGCCTTGACTATAGAGTTCCGTGTATCGTAGCGGGTTGCGGAGAGCCGTTGCGGGACGTCGAAAACCATCTACGGAAACTGCCTACTGTCTTTTGAATGACCTATTGGCATAACGCAACCGCGGCTTCAAACATTTTCTTAGGGCGCGCAGCTCTTAGGCGCCCACTTCCGTGTTCCGAGGCGTCGGCGTAACCGCGCTCAATTTAGCGGGAAAATTGACGTCAATTGTCCAACTAAATCTAGCGAAGAAACTGATTTTGTTCATAAGTCAACCAGGTCAGGTGACATCATTTTCCCCGCTAAACTAGTGGGGAAGCTAAATTGGTGTTGAGGCCACGTGGCCTCAATTCTTTAGCCAAATTTAGTGGGGAAACTGTGGGAGGAGGAGAGGGTATGGAGGAGGAAAAGGGGAAGCTACGGAGGAGGAGGAGGGAAAAGTACAGAGGAAAAAGAGGGGGAGGGGGAAAAGAGGACGAGAGGGGCATACCCTCCCCTCCTCCTCCTCAAAAGCTGCGCTCTAATTTCGCGTTACAGAGATTTGTAAACGTCTTTCATTTTTTTTCATGGGGGATCCGGGAGGTCTGTACCACAGGTGTGTGTTTTTAGCTTAGGAAATCCGGGAAAGGGGTGAGGAGGAATCGACAGATGCTATGGTCAACGTGTGTAAATAAAAGGAAGGAAAGAAGCAAATGCCCCAATAGGTTCGACCACCATTACTTACTTATTAAGAGCTGCTTTTCTGGCTTTCTTCGTGTGCTGACACTGCAGCGTGAGCCAGTCCCGAAGCGGTCTCGGTGTCCCTGCCGTGAACGCTGTCTGCATTTGGCCGGATGTCTGCGCCCAAGACCCGCCTTCTCAGCTCACAGCAGGTCTTCGAGCAGGAAGAGAAGTATGGAGCCCACTGCTATCATCCTCTGCCGGTAGTCATCCACGAGGCGAAAGGTACGCTGATGTTTTCGTCCGCTGATTGTCTTAGTCCAACAATTCACTCCACGCAGTTATTATACATAGCAGACATGTATACATTAACTGGGGGGAAAAGTAACGAAACACTGTACTAGTTACCCGCTCGAAGAGTAACTTTACTTGTTACTGATTCAAAGGGAACGTGTTACGTCAGCTCGAAAGTACATCCGGTTACTTTCTCGTGACTCTGAATGTGTCGTTTTTCTGCAGCAGTAACCACCTTCCAATATTTCGTGTCACGATAATGCCTACCTTTTTAACGCATTCACGGGCATCTTTTTCGTCTTTTTATTGGTGCTATTTTTTTTCCTGTGAAAATTGCAGTCGCGAGCTGGGGTGAAAACCTCCACAAGTAAAGTAACTAAATGGCGTTATTCATTACTCCGTAAAAAAGTAACAAGTATGCGTCACTTCTTTCTTCTCTCGAAAAATAACTGTATATATATACCGCGTGAGTCAAATGGATCGATGGCAGTTTGATGGGACCGCATGAATCGGTTTCTTAACTTATCGCGCTGAGATTTACTACAGAGGTGCTCGAAGCTGGTACATTTATGAATTAAGAGTGTCATGAAACCTCCCTAGTCAAAAGAAAGTGATAAGCTTTCTATAGACGAAATTAGTTTTTTATTTTCTAAGCCTTTTATCTCCAAATCGTCAGAAAATTGTTCTGGACTATATTGGCGCTTATTACAATTGAAAAATTTGTGAGATGGAAGAAAAATAGAATTGGGTTACCTCTTCTGCACTTCATTTGGCCCAAATAGGTGCCACAGTAACATATAATATTTATGTTTGTGTACATGTAAAGTATAGAGAAACATAGTTTCATTTTTTTTTATTTACTCACGTGAGTCAATCTTTCAACGATTTTAGCGAAAGCTACCCAACTTCAGGCACCTCCGTAGTAAATCTTAGCGCGATACGTTAAGAACCCCGATTTATACCGACCCTTCAAACGGCCATCGATCCCTTTGGAGCCACGATGTAATTCGTTAATTCATTGCATCGCCCCCCCCCCCCCCCCCCCCCCAGAAAAAAAGAGAGATATATATATATATATATATCAGATACCATATAGACTTGACGCGTACACACAAGTCTGAACATAGCGAGTGTCTATATATCCTTTCTCGACTCCCGCAAAACCGTGCTGCTGGCTGTGGAACGCCGTGTGCGCAGACGCTTTGCTTGTCGCTCGAAGCCCCCGTGGTTGTGCGCACTTCTCTATCTATGGGCAACCGGCAATGCAGTTTGGCACTACACGTTACGCCATCTAGCGGCTGCAAAATAAAACACTGGGTAGGCCAGGACGGCCCGGGTCGCCGGGCGCATATAGAAACCACGTGTGAACGTGGCATTTAGGATCGGCATGAGCCTTTTTGGGCACCGTTTTTCGTAAAAATAAATCCCAGCTTCACGTCTCAATGACCTCACCGGGTTCCTGTGACATCTCGTTTACTCCTAGAGTTCCCCCTCAAACTAAACGTTGTTACTGGTGCGTGAAAGACTGCCACAGTCGCGAAGGTAACTCAAGCGTCAAACTTTACCGCTTTCCTTCGAGATCTTGGGAAGCGACACGGCGACAGAAGTTGATTACTGCAGTGCGATGAATCAAGCAAGGGCATTTTACATTAATTGTTGTAGTGAACAAAAATAGATGTGCAGGCTTGGAAAGTGGCCTGACGAACTAGTTTTGCAGACTACTCGGCAAAATAACGTATTTATACAAGTCGTTTGCGAGTCACTTAGACAGCCACATAGAGAAATACGGTTAGAGACAATCGGGCCGATTGTTGCTTCGCCGTGACATCGAGAATCAGGCGATCAGGTCTTCAAGCGAGAGGCATATCGGCCCCTTCCGGCACTCATATAGTTGTACGCGTGCATCGCGTTCAGGAGGCGCGGTCGCAACTAAAACCTTCCAAGCCTGCGAGTTCTCAAATGGTGGATTTTCGTACCACATAAAGTTTTGTTTGTTTCGGCAACCAAAATTAAGGCCGAGTCTGGTAACAAATGTGACGACGTGCAGAAAACAGGATGCAAAAGTTTTTCTTTAGAAAAAGCTCATGCGAAGCGTAAATATCCATCTAATACGTACACTTCGTCGCCTGTCACCTTTTTACACCAGGCTTGCATATCACCATTGCAGCCATTGCAATGTGCGTACTGTTCTCTGGCATGCAGAGTTTGGTTCTAATTACCCACATTTAATTCCAGTGGTGAAGACAACCCAAACTGGTGTCCAAATGACAACTCTAGAATAGGCTGTGAACATTTGGACCAATTAAGGCTCCCGATGGTCTTAAAACCGCATAGAAAAACAGGGACATGGTGTTCACGTGCACATGGAGACTGCTGAAATCAGGGTCGCCGCCGCTCGCCATGGCATGACGGGCATACTGGCCGCCCCAATAACAAGCACGCTTCCGCTTGTGGCGCTGAATGCAGCACTCTCGTGGCACCGCCTGGGGATTGCCGGCTGGCTATTGTTGTTTTATGAGGTTTAGAAGGATATCTATTCTGAAGCCAGGGAAAGTTGTGCAGGGTAATTCCAACCGTGTCGACACGCGGCACGTGCAAACATGCGCGGTTTGGCCAGCGCCGATGCTTGGCAATCGACCAACTCTGCTGTCACTTCAGACGACAGAATATCTGAGTTTGCTTCGGTAAGAACACAATTCTGCATTAAAAACCGTGCTGTGCAGACGACGCCGTTGTTTTGCAGGCATTTATGTCTGGGACATCGAGGGGCGGCGCTACTTCGACTTCGTCGGTGCGTTCGGTGCAGTCGCCCAGGGCCACTGCCACCCGAAGATCGTGGGGGCGCTCCGGGAACAGGCTGGAAAAGTAACCCTCGCCTCCAGGGCATTCTACAGCCCTGCCCTCGTGGAGTTCCAAGAGCGTCTATGCCGTCTGTTGGGATACGACAAGGTGCTGCCCATGAACACAGGTGCCAGTAAAATCAATCAATTAGCCTATCAATCCATCACTTCATCAATCAAATAATGCATCATACAAGTAATCCGTCAATTAATCAATCACGCAATCAAACACTGCATGAAAAATTTCTTCCGTAAATTACAGTCGGCGAATCAATCACTTTGTTCATCAATCATGCAATCAATCACTGTATGAAACAATTCTTCCGCCAACTAATCAGTCGGCCAAACAATCACTCTGTCAATTAATCAGTCAATCGATAAATCAATGAATCTCTCTGTATATATATATATATATGTGTGTGTGTGTGTGCCAGTGTGCGTGTGTGTGTGTGTGTTTGTTTGTTTGTTTTCTTACGTCTCAAAACAAGAAAACATGTGTACAAGCAACGAAAAAAGAAAACTGCTTGATATCGATTTTAGCGAAGATTTTGCGATGGCTCCTTCAATGAATGGGGAAACATCGGCTGTATAATATTGCTTTCTACACAATTGCATTCGGGTTACTGGAAAAAATGGGTGGTATTTACATACCTTCACTCGATGCTGAGGACGTCCAAGTGGATTCCGCAAAGCACATCAACATTGTCGTTTTGCAAAGACGCCAGATGTATGGTGTGTTTCTCAGGCTTGGTAGACTACAGATGGGGCAATAAACAACGCAATCAGTTTGATAATCAACTGAACTAATGGGCCACCTTGCTGCAGTTTCGAAGTCAGTTATTATGAAAGTTCCAACATGAAAAATCCGAGGAGGCAACAGACTTCGGGATGTCAATTGGTCGTATGCGCGTTTTTGACGCCTGCTAATCACACAACTGTACGCAGAATAGCTGTCGAGTCCTTCCCACAAGTGAATTACTACTGCGTGACGCACGTTAAAGACCCCAGGCTAGCAGTTATACTGCACTGGTTAAATTTCCCATCTACAGCTGGGAGACTCGTCGCCCGTTGAGGCAGATTAAGTTCTATAGGCTGTATAAGCATACACACAACCCAATTTTGTTTTTCCTATTCACAATAGTGCGTTACAACACACCGTTTCTGGATTCTGCGATAACGATATCCGATGATAGAGAGTTCTAGTAGATGCTTCCGATGACTCCGATATACGATGAAAAGACTCCGCCGATTCATCTTATCTTTATCGGGTACCTTTTTCTCCCGTGGACTGTCGAGCTGGAAAGCTACCTGCTGCAGCCTGCAGCACGGGAGTCTGCCAGATCCAGCACCACCGCTGTGAAACCGACAGGATCGCGGCAGCAACAGCATGATACGTTAATGGCGTCATCAGGCGGAAATAGAGGGACCATTTTTAAGGACTCGATAAACGCACCAGTCCGAGACGCCTTGTAGGCGCCATAGGTTTGAACTAAAGGCGCTCTGGTTCAGGTGTGGAGGCTGCCGAAACGGCGTGCAAGCTGGCTCGACGCTGGGGCTACGACGTCAAGGGCATCCCGGCTAACCAGGCCAAGATGTTGTTCGCAGCCGGCAACGTCATGGGACGCAGCATCGCGGCCATCTCCTGCTCGACGGACCCTCCGCATTACGCGGGGTTCGGTCCTTTCCTGCCGGGCGTCGAGATCGTACCTTACGACGACCTCCGAGCGCTGGAGGTAATGCGCCTTAAATAAGCCGCCTCGTATTTGATGGGTATCCCTATTATGGCCTCCATCCCCTCTGTCATGCTTCTCCCAATTGCCGCTTGGTAGCGCGAATGTCAGAACCAGCTGAGGTCGCCAGAAAGAGAACAGAGGAAATTACATCCTTCTACTGATTAGAATAAGAAAGGAGAATGAAATGTTATTGTCTTCTACTTGATTCCGTGGCCGCTTATGACTTTTTATAATAAGTAACAGCTCAAGAAGGTAGGGCGAGGGAAAGGAAGGCTTGGGAGGAGGAAGCAGGCGGAACGCTGGAGAGGAGAGGAGGAAACCTCCACCTCTCTTTAGCGTTCTGTCTGCTTCCTTTTCCCCTGCCTTCCTTTCCTTCGCCCTACTTTCCTGAGTTGCAATGAACTACAGTGTAAAATATGTTTTTTATCGGGAGTAACTTGTTGAAAACCTAAGACGCACAAGCGTTAAGCGACCAAGAGAACACCATATTGTCACCGCCGCAGGATATAGGGCCCCCAGCGAATGACGCGCGTGCCTCACTCCGATTGGCTGACCTGAGCAATCATGTGACCACAGGGAACCAATGACGTTCTTGTCGGCAGTCGCGATGCGTGTCACGGTACACAGACGATTGCGCCGAGATTAACCAAGCCAAAAACGTGTTGTAATTTGTTCATATGACAATTTTGTTATGCGTCAGAAAAATTCTTGTTTTCGTGCAGTCAGCAACCAACTCGCTGCTCTGACGACACGTTAAGGCAATTGGGGCTGCTGTGGTATGGGTAGGATTCCGTGGTTTCGGAGTTTATTTCCCGCGAAATGCGGAAGGTGTTTTTCACAGTTTATTTTTTGCTGAAAATTCAAAATTCATCAAAATATATATATATATTTTTTTTAGATTTCTAGGGATTTTAATTTTGGAGTCTATTTTATGGTATTCCCGATTTGTAAGTTCAAAGAATAAAATCCGGGTGCTAGGACCCGTTGTGTTGAAAAATTCTTGACGAGCTAAAAAAAAAAAAACATTGCATTACTTCAGGTGCACTGACCCTGTGCTTCTATGAAATTTATTTGAAACACACCATGCTTTTCGTTTTTTTTTCTTCTCGTGTTGTCGTTATGACCTTGAAATTCTTAGTTTTTCGGATAAATACGAATCGATGAAAAATTTACCGGCTAGTGTTTTTCGGGGTTTTTCTGTTTCGGATTTATCCGAAAACACGTAACTGTGGTAGGGTGACCACTTCCTGCTAGCGAAATGCAGGACACGCGAGGCAGGGGGAGAGAGGGGGGGTTGAGGAAATTTATTAACACGCAAACTACGAACCGAAGCTATGTTAACAGATTCAATATCCTGTGCTGTTTATGCACCAGCAAATTGTATAACAGCAATAAAGTTCAAATAATTTTCCCTCCCAGTGATATATTTTTGTGCTAAATATGTTATTAAATGTGTCGAAGTTGAAAGCATAAAAATCTACTGCAGCAGAAGTCAATGCATCAAATGGAAATAAGAAGCTGCGGATCTTTTTCGGGTTATTGTTTCCTGTCAACGATACTTTTATAAACATGGTCCTACTAAAATTTTTAACATGATATTCTTCTCCGACCGTTGTGGGTTGCAGGCTTTTCGCCTGTATGGCTGTCCTCACTAAAAAAAAAAAAAAAAAAAAAAGAAATGTTTACAGCAACCTTTTCGCATTGACACAACGATTTGAAAATAATTACAATAATTTATATTTAAACTTTTGGCGAACAATTTTCTCACAATATTTCGCCACCAAGGAAAGAGGTACAACGGCGCACGCGCGTCGGATCTCCTGCAAGAACGACGGTCGCTTCCCGCAATGCTCGTATAGAAAATGGCGTACCAATGCGATTCACACGATTACCAGCGACCTCCGCGCTTCCCCGTGTCCCGTTGTTCGGCAGCACCACGAGTTAGTTGCGGAGTGAATTTTACGACGCGTGTGAAATGCGGGACATTTTGAAGATTCGGGAATTTCTCGCGGGACGCGAGCTCTCAAAGCGGGACAGTCCCGCGAGTCGCAGGGCGAGTGGTCACCCTAAACCGTGGGCATGCTGAGATTGTGTGCTTTTCTTCTTTAAGGACTTTCTGCGCATGCGCAGTGCCCAGAATTTTTCTGGGCAAACGAGATCGTTTACTCTTATGTTTTCCCGTATAGAAATGCATGAAACGAAGCACATATATTACATTTGCCACTTAGAATACACTCCAGAGGCAGCTCCAAGCATCAGCTCTAAAACCACGGTCACAATGGTCATGCATCGTGCAAAAGATCCGCGGAGTTCTCTGCGGAGATGTATGGCAGAATTATTTGCTTACACGCCACAAGCATGTTCGAAGCTGCTTCATACATGCTTCAAACACGTCTGCACAATTTTTTTTTTTTTTTTTTTTTTTCAGAGTGCTTTTGCGGATTCGAACGTCTGCTCGTTCATGGTGGAGCCCATTCAGGGGGCAGCTGGCGTCATCGTGCCTTCGGACGGCTATTTCAAGGGCGTGCGACAGCTGTGCACCAAACACAACGTCCTTTGGATCGCGGACGAGATCCAGACGGGTCTTGGCCGCACGGGAAAGTAAGCATTTGCCGATCGAAAGCCTTAAACAACTGCACTTACGCCGCTTCCCCGGTACTTGCTTTCTTCAGTGCTCGCAGGCAGTCTCGGTCGCATGTGTGGCGCACGCGATCGAGTTGGTAGTTTTGTACGAGACTCGGGGATATTATCGGAGCCCGGGAAACATTCTCCGTCAAGGTACTCGGAGCGAAGTTTCTGTCCTTGTCTCAGGGACACGCGTCTTTGTGAATTTCTTAAGTGTGTCACGTGCGTGAACAAAGCGGGATTTACAGTGTAGACGAATGCCCCAGGGGTGAGTCCAGCCCAGAAGAATGCTTTGCGCGCACCGGAGCCGGCACATAGAAGGGACTTTCAGAAGCAATGTGCTCGCGCCGCAGGCCTGCAGATGATCATGCTCTTAAGATGGAGTACGTGGCTTGCATTGTCGTCAGCTCAGCGGCCATTCTGGAGGTCCTGCTACTGAGCGCGTGCGTTCTACTGCATACATTTCACAGCACCGAATGTGTTCTCCGCGGCAAAACCTGTTGGAATCGTCGTCATCATGGTGCGATGACGTCAGTTCAGGTACACAGGTTGTCGAGCAAGCGCGTTACTTCCCAGGAGGTTAACGCTCTTCACATTTGAGGATAATCTTTTTGAACATGCCCCCCTAGAGGACTTTCCCACGTTACCTATCCCGCGCATGCGCAGATGGCTCTGCGTTGATCACGAACAAGTACGTCCGGACATGGTTGTTCTTGGCAAGGCGCTATCCGGCGGCGTGTACCCGGTGTCGGCGGTACTTGCAGACGACCAAGTCATGCTGGTCATCAAGCCCGGCGAACACGGCTCGACCTTCGGCGGAAACCCGCTTGCTGCGCGCGTGGCACTCGCAGCACTGCAGGTGTGCATGAGCTGTAAGATAGGGTTTTACTTTGCTAGTTGGTGTTTAAATAACATAATAGAAAAAAAGGAAAAAAAAAACAAACAAACAAACAAACAGAAATTGACTGGAAAAAGTCAGAGGGAACCACGCAGGACTCTTTTTTGAATACTCTGCAATTCTTTAAACTTCTTGGATTCTTTTCGTTTAATTGCTTTGTTGTTGAGAGTTTGCGACTGTCTTTTGTAGTTACCCTTTTACTTTGCCTCGTCTATTTGTGCTGTGTGGGGATCGGTGACTGAGTGCTTACGCACTGCCACAGACACTGCATTCGGAGCACATGGAGCGAAAGCTCGAGCGGCTGAACCCAGGGACATTGTGTTCAACCCCACACCTACCCGTTTTTATCTGTATGAGCTTCGTACCGTCATGCGGTCGTATATCACTTCTGCGCAATGAGCGCTGAAGACCCCAGGCTAGCAGTGATACTGCTCTGGCTTAATTTCTCAACAGCAGAGACGCCAGACGCCCGCTGGTACTAACTTCACACTGCCTAAACATACACACAATAAAGTTACCATCATATCGTGCACAAGGTGGGTCGCCCACGAAAAGTAATATCGGTTACGTTACCGTACTCACGTAGGTACTTGAAGAGGAGAACCTGGTCGATAACGCAGAACGCATGGGTCGGCTCCTTAGGTCGGGGCTGAGCAAGCTTCTTGGAGACCTGGTGCGAGAAGTGCGTGGAAAGGGACTGCTCAACGCCATCGTGCTAGCTCCAGGTGACCATTTTTACCAGCCAAACATTAGAGGCGATTGTGTTTTCGGCATATTACGATGTTGTTACAACGTTCCTTCCGGAGCCAACGGCAAGGAGCGTGCACAACAGCCGCAAGTTTTTTGACCCATTAAGATGGGAGGGAGGGGTAACAAAATAGACATTTTGCCAAATTACGCAAATACAGGGGAGAATCAAAATTCGCGAAGGAGCACTTGGAGCGAAAGCTCGCGCTGCTGCTCAGGCTGGGTTCAGTCTCCACCCCGGCCTGTTTCGATCTAGATGAGCATTGTACGGGCGTGCGGTCGTGTATTACTACTGCGTTTTGCACGTCAAAGACCCCAGTCTAGCGGTGGTACCGCGCTGGCTGAATTGCTCATCTACATCTGAGAGAACAAGTCGCCCGTAGGCTGTACCGCAGACCATACCATAAGCACACACATTTTGTCTCTGATTGTACATTGTTTTTTAGTGTGGAAGTGACTTTTGTTGCGCACCAATACCAAAACCGTTATGGTGCCTTTAGGGCAGGTAATAAACATCAATCTCGACATCAAACACGAGCATATCGTCAGTTCTTCTTCGCCTTGGTCTCGGACCGTATCCACGGCTTCGATCGCCTATGACGCTCCGGAACCTCTCAGTCCCAGCGCAGCATCGGAGAGTTGGGTCCGTGCTGCGGTGCATGTCTTCCTGCACGTTAGGTCCCCGTCTTCTGCCAGTCCAAAGAGCGCCGATTTTGCGAATGTCAGTGGTATTTAACAAAACGTTCATTCTGTTACGTCTTCATCCAGGCGTGGACGCCAAGGAAGTCTGCCTACAGCTCATGAAGAAAGGTGTGCTCGCCCAGTCCAAGACCAGGGACACGATCAGACTTGCTCCACCCTTGGTCATCAACGAGGAAGAGATGCGCACCTGCATCGACATCATTACCCAGACACTTACGCACTATCGGAAGCCATAGGCATTTCTTTGCTTTCCCCGGCTGGCTGAGAAAGCTGACTATACCATGCGTGATCTACACTCCGTTTCACATTATGCCCGATCCCGGCCGACACTTGGTCGGTGCCAATCAAGCAGCACCAAAAGTGCTTTGTCACAGCGCTTATCACGGCGCTCGCACAATGAATCCGCAGCGATGTTACGCTTCCTTTTCGAGAGTGATTGGTTTAGAGGGTAAATGCAAACCCACGAAGACAGCGAGTTCCGCGGCACTTTTAGGCGCTTCGGGATCGTCGATCGGACCTTGATTGAAACGGGGTATAGAATATAGAGGTACCGTCCAATACTACCAAACGCTCAGGAGTTGCTGAGGTTTTTTTTAATATTGCGTCAACAATAAAAGATATAACCGATGACACGTCCTGTTAGAGCAGGGGTCTCAAACTCATTTGAGTGGGGGGGGGGGGGGGGGGGGGGGGGGCAAATAGCCCACTCCCGATAGGTCGGGGGCCAACGTAAGGGGGGGGGGGAGGATTGTAAAAAGGGGGGGGGGGGATCAGTAATTTTATTGAGAAGAGACCTCGTGCTTTCTTCTCTTTGTAAACTCCCAGCGTGACAGTGAAATCGTTAGTTTTTATATGTTTATGAGACTACTTCGGGCCATTTTACAATGTAATAAAACGATTTACAATGGCACTACCCCGCCAACGTGCTGCCATTTTGAGTAGAGAACAAGAGAGCAAGTACGCTGTCGTTCCCGTTGCTTAATTCACTCGGGAATTATTTCAGCTCAACATGCTTTCCCCCCAAAAAAAAACCTTTCATGATAAACGTTTTGTTTTAGTACTAACAGTTTTATGGCAGCAGCCTAAAAAAAAGCTTTTATTTTAATGCTGATAATTTTTAAATGCGAGAATCTCTTAACTCGTGGACTTGAGATCCTTGGCAGTTCCTCCAGCTGAGCGAGAGTTCGTGCAGCCCAGCTCTGTCTTTGAGCAAAAAAAGCTGGGAAGCAAACATTAAAACGAAATACGAGGGAAATTAAAATAGTATAAACTATGTGATACGTTATAACAGCACAGCTACGCGTACGGCGGAAATGAATAGGCGACGTGACATCACTATGACTCGTTCCATTTGTAGGGCTCGAGACATGGGAAAGGGTGCTCGCAGCCGTTTGCTTGTGGGCCGCATCCGAGCGAGTCGAGGGCCGCATACGGCCCGCGGTCTGCGTATTTGAGACCCGTGTGTTAGAGTATAGATTTTTACGGTTCTTAAGGGCTTTTCTCGAGCTTGGCTGTTAAAGTTTCGCCGAAGCCAGCATTACTAGACCAAAGCCGCGGCGCTTTGGCCAGCCGCGGCGTCAGAACTGCGCGATTCAAGAATACTTAAAAACGAAAGAATAAACACACAAAACGAAGCATACACGGACGACCACACTTTTTTAAATAGTAGCTTGCTATTTGAGAGAGGGTGCTTCTCTTCCTGCACGCGGAGAACTACGTGACAGAAGGAGGAGCATGACGGGAAAGCTTGCGCATAGGATGGCGTTTTCACGTTTTTCAAGCAGACGACACGCAGAGAAAATACGAAAGCGCTGGTTTGCGGTTTCCTTTTTTTTTTTTCATTTCCATTGGTGGGTTCAGCTTCTTCGCTTGAGCGGTCGCGTCGGAACTGTTCGGGATATTAAGGATTGTTGTCCTTTTCCTACGAATATTTTGCAAGGAATGTCTGAAATGTTCGGGCGTATTCTTTTGGGGCCGATTGCACCTCTTACCCCGCTCCCTTCCCCCTCTCATCTCCCCCCCCCCCCTCTCATCCCCCTGCTCCGGCTGTACAGACACTGCTGTCCTTGGAACTGTGCTTGCAAAGTAGACATCCCCATTTCCTCTTCCCTTTTGTGTCAGAACCTCTCCATGTTGGTGTGGTGTCTGGACGGCCGAAATGGGACGACCGCACACAGGAGAGGCTGACGCGAGACTGATTGGTTTAGTCTTTAGTAAAGACGAGGAAGTAGAAAGAAAAAAGGAGAGAAAAAAGACTAAGTAACCATTTTAGATGGTTATTTTGTTTAACGTTGTTTTGTTTTTATAAAGGAAAACGGAAGAAGAAATCGAAACCTAATGCATGTAGATTGTTATTCGAGACCGCTAAAACTCATTGTGCTCGCCCGCTATGGTAAAAAAAAAAAAAAAAAAAAAAAGTTTACGGACGACGCATGTGAAATGAAACCATGCATGCAATTTGTGCCACGCTCCCCGCTGCATTTGAAACACGCATGATCCGTTGATCACTTTAAGAGACTATGAAATGATTTTGGAGAAAAGTTTACTGACTGCATATCGTTTACGAGATTAAAATAATACTAGCACGCGAGATTAGGAAGGCTAAATACTAAATTTTGGCAGATAAAAGCGGTCTATTTCTCACACCCTCTTCCTCGAACGCTCGCAACGAAGCTGAGTGTATGAATGGGTGGAATAATAAACGAGTTATGGCGAAACTTTCTGTAATGGGCGGTGCGCTAACTAAAAAAGTAACCACAATATCCACAGTGTCGGAGTATTTTTTCTTCCTTTTTTCCGAGCATTTCAGTTGAATTTAGCCTCCGTATTCGATACGAGTAGTGTGTCTCTCAAACAGTGCTCGCAAACGATAAAATTGTCGATGAATACTCTCGAGGGAAATGACCGAGTTCAACATTCGGTTGCGTAAGCCGTAGCGTCAACGAGAGCACGACAAGGTCCAGGCAGAAAAACACAAAAATGTGCATTCTCTGTAATGCACCCGTGGTTCTGTAGCACCACGACGGCGGGGAACTCCCGGCAGAAATCCTCTCATGGGTGGTGGCCATCAGAGCCGTATATGTAGAGAGTTTCGCCATTCATTGGGAAGTATATGAGACAAATCAGGAGGCACCACTGGCCGAAAGCGGGCTGGGCATGTTCCAGGGCGTCTTCACAAATTCGAATGTAGCCAACCAGAAGCCAGTAATAATACCCTGGCAGTGGTCGCGAGAAACAAACTTAATAAGTGCGTAGGAATAACTCTCGGTGACTAAAAATATGGTGAACGCGATGTTTCAATCACAGTCATCCAAAATCATGATGCAAAAGTGCGACCAGCGGAACGCTTGACATAATCCGTACACCAGGCGCCGAGGGCCGGGAATGTGCCGTCCGAGCGGTCACACTCTCTCCGAGCGAAACAGAGTTCGAGCGGCCACATTCGTTTCTTGCATCTTTCTGCGTGATCATGATCGAAACATCACGTGCACCCTCTTTTCAACCTTGAAGGGTTACTACATTGAACTCTTACGCGCCTATTAAAACGATTAAAACTGTTTCTCGCTACCACCGCTAGGGGATTCTTTTCGGCTTCTAATTGGCCAAGAGAGCATGTCAAGCCCTCCTTCTGCGTTTGGTGCACGCCATGACGCTGCCCGCGCCTCCCGATAACCAGACTCTCTCTATACACGGTTCACGTGGCCATCACAGTGAAGCATTTGCAGGTCACCTACAATGGTATGAATTATTAGGAATTTACACCTTATAAATAACGGAAAGAACACCAAACACAAGGACGGACGAAATCAAGTGATCGACGAATCAGCTTGAAATCCTGACTACAAGTGTCGCTCGTACCTCCCTCTGCGCCAGGAGTGGCACGCGCTGCTTGGCCGATAAGATAATATCAAGGCATGAAATGACATTGTTTTGTGTTCTTCATATTATTTATATGGTCCTTACCAGCACGCTCCCTATTCCCAAATAGGAATTTATATTACTTCTTTTCTAGCGTCTTGTGTTCGCAGCCGAAATATGAACTTACCATTTTACATTGAATAACCGCCACTCCTCCGCTGCCTGCGCTGAACTGTCGCAGCCTTCGTCGGGCGAGTCCTCGCTTTGCCGCGTCCCGGCGTAGGAAACAAGGCCCATACTTTGCTTTACCGAAACATTTCAAGCTCCACTTCACTCATCTGCGCCCTATCCATAGCCATGGCGTTGATCGCACAAGCGTCGCGGACCAACGAGTCCTACGAAGCAATCGGCGTCCATGAAAACCTCAGTGGGTGACGTCGTTTCAACGTCCTTTCGTCGAAACGTTGAAGGAAAAAACGTCGTTTCAACGCAACGCGACGCTTCACTGACCCGGATCCCTCGCTCGGCTGGCAGAACTGCCGTTTCCGGAGGAAAGGCATACTCTAAGTCACGGCCACGTGATTTCACATGTTGGTGACCGAGTCCGGTCGAGTAAAGGAGGAAAGCAGACTCGGTATTTTTTTGTGTATGTTTTGAAAACTGAGGGAAATAAAACGAAAACGGATTCCTTCTCCCGGTTCTATGAACATTGAAGATTAATTAGGGTCTTCAATTGGAAAAAGCTTGAAAATCATTTCATGGTCGCCTAATGGAAGTCGATGAATCTCACATTAAATTCTACCGTATGGCAAGGTTCCCAGAAATCTGGAGTGTCCACGTTACCGAAAAGAACGGAGAACCAATCGCTGCAATCTAGTAAGGCGACTCTGCAGACGACGAGGCTGATAAAACGTTAAAACCTAAAAAAAAAAGAAAAAGAAAGAAACGAATTTTGCGTTGTGACAATTTAGCACGACGAAACCTCATGGTCAGTGTCCCAGCGCAGTCTATTTTTTACATCTACATAGGAGACATCCATTATTGACTCCGCTATGATAGCAGAAGTTAGCCAGCATATTGGGGCTCCCTAACTTCCCGCAGTCTGAACATGCACGAAACAAAGTTTTAGGAAACGACGTGCTGCGTTGACTGTGGCACCCGGCAGTTATGATCACGTTGCCTGTAAGGCGTCTTCGACCGGTGCGTTTAGAGTCTTATTCCTCCTATGAACAAAAGAAAAGTTGCTTGGGGGACCCAATGCTTTGGGGCCCTCTGTTGTAAAACTGTCTAATAATGAAACGAATCGGTCGATTGGGAGTTTACATAACAGATGATATCTATAATGAATGAGAGCATAAGAAACTCAGAGCGCAAGTTAATATGAGCTTGTTTTGTGATTCGTTCTTCGGTATTCTTATCGGTTAATGAGGCAGTCTCATTTGCTGGAGCGATAATAAGTTGCTTGAG